GTCAGATAACTTGTATCTGTGACAAAAACTGATCGTGTTTAGAGGAATGACAGGTCAGATAACTTGTATCTGTGACAAAAACTGATTGTGTTTAGAGGAATGACAGGTCAGATAACTTGTATCTGTGACAAAAACTGATCGTGTTTAGAGGAATGACAGGTCAGATAACTTGTATCTGTGACAAAAACTGATCGTGTTTAGAGGAATGACAGGTCAGATAACTTGTATCTGTGACAAAAACTGATCAGGTTTAGAGGAATGACGGGTCAGATAACTTGTATCTGTGACAAAAACTGATCAGGTTTAGAGGAATGACGGGTCAGATAACTTGTATCTGTGACAAAAACTGATCAGGTTTAGAGGAATGACGGGTCAGATAACTTGTATCTGTGACAAAAACTGATCAGGTTTAGAGGAATGACGGGTCAGATAACTTGTATCTGTGACAAAAACTGATCAGGTTTAGAGGAATGACGGGTCAGATAACTTGTATATGTGACAAAAACTGATCAGGTTTAGAGGAATGACGGGTCAGATAACTTGTATCTGTGACAAAAACTGATCAGGTTTAGAGGAATGACGGGTCAGATAACTTGTATCTGTGACAAAAACTGATCAGGTTTAGAGGAATGACAGGTCAGATAACTTGTATCTGTGACAAAAACTGATCAGGTTTAGAGGAATGACGGGTCAGATAACTTGTATATGTGACAAAAACTGATCAGGTTTAGAGGAATGACGGGTCAGATAACTTGTATATGTGACAAAAACTGATCAGGTTTAGAGGAATGACGGGTCAGATAACTTGTGACAAAAACTGATCAGGTTTAGAGGAATGACGGGTCAGATAACTTGTATCTGTGACAAAAACTGATCAGGTTTAGAGGAATGACGGGTCAGATAACTTGTATATGTGACAAAAACTGATCAGGTTTAGAGGAATGACGGGTCAGATAACTTGTATATGTGACAAAAACTGATCAGGTTTAGAGGAATGACGGGTCAGATAACTTGTATCTGTGACAAAAACTGATCAGGTTTAGAGGAATGACAGGTCAGATAACTTGTATCTGTGACAAAAACTGATCGTGTTTAGAGGAATGACAGGTCAGATAACTTGTATATGTGACAAAAACTGATCGTGTTTAGAGGAATGACGGGTCAGATAACTTGTATATGTGACAAAAACTGATCGTGTTTAGAGGAATGACGGGTCAGATAACTTGTATCTATGACAAAAACTGATCAGGTTTAGAGGAATGACAGGTCAGATAACTTGTATATGTGACAAAAACTGATCGTGTTTAGAGGAATGACAGGTCAGATAACTTGTATCTGTGACAAAAACTGATCGTGTTTAGAGGAATGACAGGTCAGATAACTTGTATATGTGACAAAAACTGATCAGGTTTAGAGGAATGACAGGTCAGATAACTTGTATATGTGACAAAAACTGATCGTGTTTAGAGGAATGACAGGTCAGATAACTTGTATATGTGACAAAAACGGATCGTGTTTAGAGGAATGACAGGTCAGATAACTTGTATATGTGACAAAAACTGATCGTGTTTAGAGGAATGACAGGTCAGATAACTTGTATATGTGACAAAAACTGATCGTGTTTAGAGGAATGACGGGTCAGATAACTTGTATATGTGACAAAAACTGATTGTGTTTAGAGGAATGACGGGTCAGATAACTTGTATCTGTGACAAAAACTGATTGTGTTTAGAGGAATGACAGGTCAGATAACTTGTATATGTGACAAAAACTGATTGTGTTTAGAGGAATGACAGGTCAGATAACTTGTATATGTGACAAAAACTGATCAGGTTTAGAGGAATGACAGGTCAGATAACTTGTATATGTGACAAAAACTGATTGTGTTTAGAGGAATGACGGGTCAGATAACTTGTATATGTGACAAAAACTGTAACTTGTATATGTGACAAAAACTGATTGTGTTTAGAGGAATGACAGGTCAGATAACTTGTATATGTGACAAAAACTGTAACTTGTATATGTGACAAAAACTGATTGTGTTTAGAGGAATGACAGGTCAGATAACTTGTATATGTGACAAAAACTGATCAGGTTTTGAGGAATGACGGGTCAGATAACTTGTATATGTGACAAAAACTGATCAGGTTTAGAGGAATGACAGGTCAGATAACTTGTATATGTGACAAAAACTGATCAGGTTTAGAGGAATGTCTCATGGTGACCTTTTGCGATCAACTTTATGTGGGGTCGTGTGTCTTTAAACAATTTAACATTTTTGACTTCTTCAAAATTCTCCTGATTTGATTTCAATGAAATTTTGCAGAAACCTTCCCCAGCCTAAGATGAACCAAAATTGTGAATTATACAGTCCCCAACCCCGAGGGACCTGAAGGTTATAGTAGTCTAGGCAGAAGGCCATGGTAGTCTAGACAGAAGGTTGTGGTAGTCTAAACAGATCATGGTAGTCTAGACAGAAGGTTGTGGTAGTCTAGACAGAAGGTTGTAGAAGTGTAGACAGAAGGTCATGGTAGTCTAGACAGAAGGTTGTGGTAGTCTAGACAGAAGGTCATGGTAGTCCAGACAGAAGGTCATGGTAGTCTAGTCAAAAGGTCATGGTAGTCTAGACAGAAGGTCATGGTAGTCCAGACAGAAGGTCATGGTAGTCCAGACAGGTCAGTGTAGTCTAGTCAAAAGGTCATGGTAGTCTAGTCAAAAGTTCATGGTAGTCTAGTCAAAAGGTCATGGTAGTCTAGACAGAAGGTCATGGTAGTCCAGACAGAAGGTCATGGTAGTCTAGACAGAAGGTTGTGGTAGTCTAGACAGATCGTGGTAGTCTGGACAGAAGGTTGTAGTAGTCTAGACAGAAGGTCATGGTAGTCTAGACAGAAGGTTGTGGTAGTCTAGACAGAAGGTCATGGTAGTCTAGTCAAAAGGTCATGGTAGTCTAGACAGAAGGTCATGGTAGTCTAGTTAAAAGGTCATGGTAGTCCAGACAGAAGGTCATGGTAGTCCAGACAGAAGGTCATGGTAGTCTAGACAGAAGGTCGTGATAATCTAGACAGAAAGTCATTGAAGTCTAATCAGAAGGTTGTAATATCGTAGGAAGGATGTGGTAAACTAGTCAGAAGATGCATGATATTCTCTCTAACATTGATGTTATCACTATATTGTCCTTCACAGCATACAATGCATTTTTAGCTCACCTGACCTGAAAGGCCTCTGAGTCTATGTCATACCACGGTGTCCCGTTTGTCTGTCATCAGTATCTCAATTTATTCCAATCAGACACAACTAAACCAATTTTTACCAAATTTGGTCAGAAGCATCCTTTGAGGAAGGGGAATAAATTTCTCAGAAATGGTCGGTTTTCTTCCCAAAGAGCCTGAATGGATGAGGCCTTAATGTCAAAATTTTGCAAGTTCTTTGAAATCCTGCTCCACCTGTAGGAATGATTTTGTTTTGCCCAAAATTTGGTTTGAAGTATTCTTGGTTGAAGGGGAATCTTTTTTTTTAATATATAAATGTTTTGTCTTGGCCCCCTGGTACGGAAGGATGCAAGCCCAATAAGGAAATAGAACAAATTTTTGAAATCCTACTCCTCCATTAGGAATGATTTGATTTTGCCCAGTTTGGTCTGCAGCATTCTTGAGCTAAGGGCAATCAGTTTTGTAAAGATGGAGTGGTTTGGCCCCCTTAGGAGGGGGACAGGAACAATTATAGGGGAAATTGGAACAAATTATTTACAATCATTCGTCTTCCTCTGACAAGATTCTGTATCAATTTGATCGGATGCATGAATGGTTTGGCTGATCGAGGGTCAGAGGGTTGAGACACAGTGGAAAATTGATATTTTATGAGCTTGGATATTTGGAATTTCTTTTCCTTTCATTTTGATGAACTGATTTCATCCAAGCAAAGCCAGGTTAACCATACAGGCCCTATCAGTCCTTTTTTCATGGCTTTAGATTTTACTTATTATAAGTGAAAGAAGATTAATAGCTCATCTGATATCTTATCACCAGTTAATAGTGCAGTGTCTACTCTCAATGGTTGTTGTGTGAAGTATAAGATAAATTAGAAAAAGCAAGATCATAACATACAATATTAAACTATCAATTGAAATTAAACCAACTTTACATTCCTGGAAACATGCGAGATAAATAATTTGTATCAAGGAATTGTCTGAAAAAGTACAAAGATTTAATTATGGAATATCTGAAATGTCTTATTTAATTGAAAATTGTTGAATGATAAAAAAGTTCTCTTATATTTCATTACTGCATGAAATAAACAGTTATGAGTAGAAAATTGCTGTGAGTCTGGTGTGTTTGTTTTCAAATGTAAACGAAGTTTATAACCTGTGATTTGTTGTTAGAAGTTTCCCATATCAAGCTATTACTTGTCGGGAATGACTATATCATAGATTTGTCTGATTAAAAAAACTACTTCTGGAATATCTGTAATATTTCACTGGAACTTGTTTTAATTTGATGATTTACTGTCAGCTTAGTGCAGAGTTTAATGGTACATGTATCTTCTGTTAAGTTAAATACTTATATAAAAATGTCTACTTAGCCGGATAGTAAATAGTACCATCTACTTAGCCGGATAGTAAATAGTACCATCTACTTAGCCGGATAGTAAATAGTGCCATCTTCATAGCCGGATAGTAAATAGTGCCATCTACTTAGCATAGTAAATAGTTCCATCTACTTAGCCGGATAGTAAATAGTGCCATCTACTTAGCCGGATAGTAAATGCCATCTATTTATCATATAAAATATAAACCCCATCAGTCAACATTCCTCCACACAGTCCTTCTTCATCAGATAAAACATTTAAGAGCCATTTTCATGTCATGGAAAAATTAAGAATTTTTTAAACAGTACTGTTAAATTCAATTTTTAAAAATCTGAATTTTCCACAATCAAATTGACTTGTGGTCCCACTCATTTGACAAGGAAAACTGTGTCATACACTTCATCAATCTTTTCAAGAGTTCAGTAGACAGGGATCAACACAGTCACATGACCTCCCCCTGATACAGGCGACAAGGGGACGACAAGATGAAGATCACAGCATTGATAACGCCTTTTCCAAGTATGCACATGATGAGCACCAGGAGGATTTTTATGCGGGCTCACCCTCCTCTCCAGAGAGTGATGGAGGTAAGTGACTTTCACCCTCCTCTCCAGAGAGTTATTGAGGTAAGTGACGTTCACCCTCCTCTCCAGAGAGTGATGGAGGTAAGTGACATTCACCCTCCTCTCCAGAGAGTTATTGAGGTAAGTGACGTTCACCCTCCTCTCCAGAGAGTGATGGAGGTAAGTGACATTCACCCTCCTCTCCAGAGAGTTATTGAGGTAAGTGACGTTCACCCTCCTCTCCAGAGAGTGATGGAGGTAAGTGACGATCACCCTCCTCTCCAGAGAGTGATAGAGGTAAGTGACGATCACCCTCCTCTCCAGAGAGTGTTGGAGGTAAGTGACGTTCACCCTCCTCTCCAGACAGTGATGGAGGTAAGTGATGTTCACTCTCCTCTCCAGACAGTGATGGAGGTAAGTGACGTTCACTCTCCTCTCCAGAGAGTGATGGAGGTAAGTGACGTTCACCCTCCTCTTCAGAAAGTGATGGAGGTAAGTGACCTTCAACCTTCTCTCCAGAAAGTGATGGAGGTAAGTGACGTTCACCCTCCTCTCCAGAAAGCGATGGAGGTAAGTGACGTTCACTCTCCTCTCTGGACAGTTATGGAGGTAAGTGACGTTCAACCTCCTCTCCAGAAAGTGATGGAGGTAAGTGACGTTCACCCTCCTCTTCAGAAAGTGATGGAGGTAAGTGACCTTCAACCTCCTCTCCAGAAAGTGATGGAGGTAAGTGATGTTCACCCTCCTCTCCAGAGAGTGATGGAGGTAAATGACATTCACCCTCCTCTTCAGAAAGTGATAGAGGTAAGTGACGATCACTCTCCTCTCCAGACAGTGATGGAGGTAAGTGACGTTCACTCCTCTCCAGAGAGTGATGGAGGTAAGTGACGTTCACCCTCCTCTCCAGAGAGTGATGGAGGTAAGTGACGTTCACTCCTCTCCTGAGAGTGATGGAGGTAAGTGACGTTCACTCTCCTCTCCAGAGAGTGATGGAGGTAGGTGACGTTCTCCCTCATCTTCAGAAAGTGATGGAGGTAAGTGACCTTCAACCTTCTCACCAGAGAGTGATGGAGGTAAGTGATGTTCACTCCTCTCCAGAGAGTGATGGAGGTAAGTGACGTTCACTCTCCTCTCCAGAGAGTGATGGAGGTAAGTGACGTTCACTCCTCTCCAGAGAGTGATGGAGGTAAGTGACGTTCACTCTTCTCCAGAGAGTGATGGAGGTAAGTTACAGATATTCACTACTTAATCAAGTTTCGGTATTACTGGAAGTCTGGAATTCTCACTGTTGTATGACTAAATTTGTCATTATATTTCAGTATCTCTCGGAGCTCTGGAATTCTCACTGTTGTATGACTAAATTTGTCATTATATTTCAGTATCTCTCGGAGCTCTGGAATTCTCACTGTTGTATGACTAAATTTGTCATTATATTTCAGTATCTCTCGGAGCTCTGGAATTCTCACTGTTGTATGACTAAATTTGTCATTATATTTCAGTATCTCTCGGAGCTCTGGAATTCTCACTGTTGTATGACTAAATTTGTCATTATATTTCAGTATCTGTCGGAGCTCTGGAATTCTCACTGTTGTATGACTAAATTTGTCATTATATTTCAGTATCTGTCGGAGCTCTGTAATTCTCACTGTTGTATGACTAAATTTGTCATTATATTTCAGTATCTCTCGGAGCTCTGGAATTCTCACTGTTGTATGACTAAATTTGTCATTATATTTCAGTATCTCTCGGAGCTCTGGAATTCTCACTGTTGTATGACTAAATTTGTCATTATATTTCAGTATCTCTCGGAGCTCTGGAATTCTCACTGTTGTATGACTAAATTTGTCATTATATTTCAGTATCTCTCGGAGCTCTGGAATTCTCACTGTTGTATGACTCTGCAGCCAATGCTCTTCATTGCACTATTGTCCGAGCAAGGGTAGGTTCTTTTATTCTTTTCTTGTTTGATTAATCTTGAGTAATCTGGCAGACCACTCCATCAATTCAGATTTAAGTCTGTTGGACCACTCCATCAATTCAGATTTAAGTCTGTTGGACCACTCCATCAATTCAGATTTAAGTCTGTTGGACCACTCCATCAATTCAGATTTAAGTCTGTTGGACCACTCCATCAATTCAGATTTAAGTCTGTCGGAAATGTAAATTATCGTCACTTAGCTGCTATGCTTGGAACAACATCAATGGGTTTCAAAACTGTCACATCTATTATATGATTAATTTAGTGTGCATTAATTTACACGGCCCATATCTTCATGATCCCTCCTACACGGCCTTCAATCCTACTCGGCCTTATCTTCATTATGATCCCTCCTACACGGCCTTCATTATGATCCCTCCTACACGGCCTATGATCCCTCCTACACGGCCTTCATTATGATCCCTCCTACACGGCCTTCATCCCTCCTACACGGCCTTCATTATGATCCCTCCTACACGGCCTTCATTATGATCCCTCCTACACGGCCTTCATTATGATCCCTCCTACACGGCCTTCATTATGATCCCTCCTACACGGCCTTCATTATGATCCCTCCTACACGGCCTTCATTATGATCCTACACGGCCTTCATTATGATCCCTCCTACACGGCCTTCATTATGATCCCTCCTACACGGCCTTCATTATGATCCCTCCTACACGGCCTTCATTATGATCCCTCCTACACGGCCTTCATTATGATCCCTCCTACACGGCCTTCATTATGATCCCTCCTACACGGCCTTCATTATGATCCCTCCTACACGGCCTTCATTATGATCCCTCCTACACGGCCTTCATTATGATCCCTCCTACACGGCCTTCATTATGATCCCTCCTACACGGCCTTCATTATGATCCCTCCTACACGGCCTTCATTATGATCCCTCCTACACGGCCTTCATTATGATCCCTCCTACACGGCCTTCATTATGATCCCTCCTACACGGCCTTCATTATGATCCCTCCTACACGGCCTTCATTATGATCCCTCCTACACGGCCTTCATTATGATCCCTCCTACACGGCCTTCATTATGATCCCTCCTACACGGCCTTCATTATGACACGGCCTTCCCCTCCCACGGCCTTCATTATGATCCCTCCTACACGGCCTTCATTATGATCCCTCCTACACGGCCTTCATTATGATCCCTCCTACACGGCCTTCATTATGATCCCTCCTACACGGCCTTCATTATGATCCCTCCTACACGGCCTTCATTATGATCCCTCCTACACGGCCTTCATTATGATCCCTCCTACACGGCCTTCATTATGATCCCTCCTACACGGCCTTCATTATGATCCCTCCTACACGGCCTTCATTATGATCCCTCCTACACGGCCTTCATTATGATCCCTCCTACACGGCCTTCATTATGATCCCTCCTACACGGCCTTCATTATGATCCCTCCTACACGGCCTTCATTATGATCCCTCCTACACGGCCTTCATTATGATCCCTCCTACACGGCCTTCATTATGATCCCTCCTACACGGCCTTCATTATGATCCCTCCTACACGGCCTTCATTATGATCCCTCCTACACGGCCTTCATTATGATCCCTCCTACACGGCCTTCATTATGATTATGATCCCTCCTACACGGCCTTCATTATGATCCCTCCTACACGGCCTTCATTATGATCCCTCCTACACGGCCTTCATTATGATCCCTCCTACACGGCCTTCATTATGATCCCTCCTACACGGCCTTCATTATGATCCCTCCTACACGGCCTTCATTATGATCCCTCCTACACGGCCTTCATTATGATCCCTCCTACACGGCCTTCATTATGATCCCTCCTACACGGCCTTCATTATGATCCCTCCTACACGGCCTTCATTATGATCCCTCCTACACGGCCTTCATTATGATCCCTCCTACACGGCCTTCATTATGATCCCTCCTACACGGCCTTCATTATGATCCCTCCTACACGGCCTTCATTATGATCCCTCCTACACGGCCTTCATTATGATCCCTCCTACACGGCCTTCATTATGATCCCTCCTACACGGCCTTCATTATGATCCCTCCTACACGGCCTTCATTATGATCCCTCCTACACGGCCTTCATTATGATGATCCCTCCTACACGGCCTTCATTATGATCCCTCCTACACGGCCTTCATTATGATCCCTCCTACACGGCCTTCATTATGATCCCTCCTACACGGCCTTCATTATGATCCCTCCTACACGGCCTTCATTATGATCCCTCCTACACGGCCTTCATTATGATCCCTCCTACACGGCCTTCATTATGATCCCTCCTACACGGCCTTCATTATACACGGCCTTCATTATGATCCCTCCTACACGGCCTTCATTATGATCCCTCCTACACGGCCTTCATTATGATCCCTCCTACACGGCCTTCATTATGATCCCTCCTACACGGCCTTCATTATGATCCCTCCTACACGGCCTTCATTATGATCCCTCCTACACGGCCTTCATTATGATCCCTCCTACACGGCCTTCATTATGATCCCTCCTACACGGCCTTCATTATGATCCCTCCTACACGGCCTTCATTATGATCCCTCCTACACGGCCTTCATTATGATCCCTCCTACACGGCCTTCATTATGATCCCTCCTACACGGCCTTCATTATGATCCCTCCTACACGGCCTTCATTATGATCCCTCCTACACGGCCTTCATTATGATCCCTCCTACACGGCCTTCATTATGATCCCTCCTACACGGCCTTCATTATGATCCCTCCTACACGGCCTTCATTATGATCCCTCCTACACGGCCTTCATTATGATCCCTCCTACACGGCCTTCATTATGATCCCTCCTACACGGCCTTCATTATGATCCCTCCTACACGGCCTTCATTATGATCCCTCCTACACGGCCTTCATTATGATCCCTCCTACACGGCCTTCATTATGATCCCTCCTACACGGCCTTCATTATGATCCCTCCTACACGGCCTTCATTATGATCCCTCCTACACGGCCTTCATTATGATCCCTCCTACACGGCCTTCATTATGATCCCTCCTACACGGCCTTCATTATGATCCCTCCTACACGGCCTTCTACACGGCCTTCATTATGATCCCTCCTACACGGCCTTCATTATGATCCCTCCTACACGGCCTTCATTATGATCCCTCCTACACGGCCTTCATTATGATCCCTCCTACACGGCCTTCATTATGATCCCTCCTACACGGCCTTCATTATGATCCCTCCTACACGGCCTTCATTATGATCCCTCCTACACGGCCTTCATTATGATCCCTCCTACACGGCCTTCATTATGATCCCTCCTACACGGCCTTCATTATGATCCCTCCTACACGGCCTTCATTATGATCCCTCCTACACGGCCTTCATTATGATCCCTCCTACACGGCCTTCATTATGATCCTTCCTACACGGCCTTCATTATGATCCCTCCTACACGGCCTTCATTATGATCCCTCCTACACGGCCTTCATTATGATCCCTCCTACACGGCCTTCATTATGATCCCTCCTACACGGCCTTCATTATGATCCCTCCTACACGGCCTTCATTATGATCCCTCCTACACGGCCTTCATTATGATCCCTCCTACACGGCCTTCATTATGATCCCTCCTACACGGCCTTCATTATGATCCCTCCTACACGGCCTTCATTATGATCCCTCCTACACGGCCTTCATTATGATCCCTTCTACACAGCACGGCCTTCATTATGATCCCTCCTACACGGCCTTCATTATGATCCCTCCTACACGGCCTTCATTATGATCCCTCCTACACGGCCTTCATTATGATCCCTCCTACACGGCCTTCATTATGATCCCTCCTACACGGCCTTCATTATGATCCCTCCTACACGGCCTTCATTATGATCCCTCCTACACGGCCTTCATTATGATCCCTCCTACACGGCCTTCATTATGATCCCTCCTACACGGCCTTCATTATGATCCCTCCTACACGGCCTTCATTATGATCCCTCCTACACGGCCTTCATTATGATCCCTCCTACACGGCCTTCATTATGATCCCTCCTACACGGCCTTCATTATGATCCCTCCTACACGGCCTTCATTATGATCCCTCCTACACGGCCTTCATTATGATCCCTCCTACACGGCCTTCATTATGATCCCTCCTACACGGCCTTCATTATGATCCCTCCTACACGGCCTTCATTATGATCCCTCCTACACGGCCTTCATTATGATCCCTCCTACACGGCCTTCATTATGATCCCTCCTACACGGCCTTCATTATGATCCCTCCTACACGGCCTTCATTATGATCCCTCCTACACGGCCTTCATTATGATCCCTCCTACACGGCCTTCATTATGATCCCTCCTACACGGCCTTCATTATGATCCCTCCTACACGGCCTTCATTATGATCCCTCCTACACGGCCTTCATTATGATCCCTCCTACACGGCCTTCATTATGATCCCTCCTACACGGCCTTCATTATGATCCCTCCTACACGGCCTTCATTATGATCCCTCCTACACGGCCTTCATTATGATCCCTCCTACACGGCCTTCATTATGATCCCTCCTACACGGCCTTCATTATGATCCCTCCTACACGGCCTTCATTATGATCCCTCCTACACGGCCTTCATTATGATCCCTCCTACACGGCCTTCTGTATGATCCCTCCTACACGGCCTTCATTATGATCCCTCCTACACGGCCTTCATTATGATCCCTCCTACACGGCCTTCATTATGATCCCTCCCACACGGCCTTCATTATGATCCCTCCTACACGGCCTTCATTATGATCCCTCCTACACGGCCTTCATTATGATCCCTCCTACACGGCCTTCTGTATGATCCCTCCTACATATCATTTGTCCTATTGCTTTGGTACTAGCGATTAACTTGTTGTAAAATGTAAACGTAGATCCTGTCAGCTGAATTCCACATTGTCATAAATCATTAAATTAAATAATGAAACTGTACAGTGTTCTTTTGATACCAATAAACTGGGACTGTGATGATTGATTACAATATATGTAGTCAGACCAGGACTGTGATGATTGATTACAATAGATTAAGTCAGACCAGGACTGTGATGATTGATTACAATATATGTAGTCAGACCAGGACTGTGATGATTGATTACAATATATGTAGTCAGTTCAGGACTGTGTGATGATTGTTTACAATAGATTAAGTCAGACCAGGACTGTGAATACACAGGGACTTGACATTACAGATGATGATTCCTTTTGGGGGGGGGGGGGTTATGTCTTGAAGCAATGCATACGGTACCTTGTAGTGTTTAACCTCATACCGATGATAGAAATATAAATGGTCGCAGTATGTCAATCCAAAGAGGTACATGGATTTTATGTTGAAGTGAAAACTCTATTACATCACTGATTATTTGGTTTTGATATTTACAGGGGCTCAAAGCGATGGATTCCAATGGTTTGTCAGATCCCTATGTCAAACTTCATACACTTCCTGGCGCAAGTAAGGTAAATCGAAAACAGCTGTTGTTAGCTCACTTGGCCTTAAGGGTGTATGGTGCATTGTCTGTCAGCTTTGCCTTTAAATGTCATGTGGTGATAAACAATATTTCACAAATGATAATGATGTTTTGTTTGTATATATTTTGGATCCTAAAATGAAGCCTGACCAAGTTTAAGAGAGAGAAAAAAAAAGTGGCCTTGACCTCAATTCCAAGTTACAGGGGTTCACAGGTGTTAAATTGTTTAAACACTCAATTGACTTCTGATCACATGGAAGCTTAGAGAATTTGTAAAGAGAAAAGTTTTCACTTGTTGCTTTGTGTTGTATACTGTCACTCAAATACTTTTGTTAGACTTGAATTTCATTGTTTTTTCTTTAAATAGTACTTTGTCTGTGCCCTGTGTGGATAGATATAATGCTTAAATTTACTTTCTTAATTTAGCATGTCATGATTATGTAAATTAAGAGTATTCACAAAATAAATGAAAATTAATCCCTCATGAAAATTAACAATTTTTCAATTTCAACAAACCTGTACTCTACATTCGTTGTAGATAAATCATTATTAGCCTAGATTGTATAGTAAAGAGTATCAAATACCATGAGTGATGCAGACCCATTAGGCCTCTTGTTGTTGAACTTTGGTGACCATCAAGGTCCTTTAGGCCTTTTGTTCAGTATTGCTGTATTTGTATGTTGTTACAGTCAAACAAACTAAGAACCAAAACAATCCATAAGACACTGAACCCGGAGTGGAACGAGACTCTTACCTACTACGGCATCACTGAAGATGATATGCTGAAAAAAACTTTGAGGTAAAATATCTGATGGGAAAGTCATTTTGGGAAAAGACAAAGAAAGAAAAAATCACTTTTTGGGAAAGACAAAGTCACTATTAGGAAAGGGAGAAAAGGAACCTGACTTCAGGTCTATTTGTTTCACCACATTTCTTATTGTTCCTCTCTCTGTTCGACTGTTTAGACTTGCAGTGTTGGATGAGGATGCTTTTGGTTATGACTTTATTGGGGAGACACGGGTACCTCTGAAGAGACTACGAGCTGGCCAGACCAAACATTTCAATGTGTACTTAGAGAAGCAGCTTCCGGTTAGTAAATCTGTCTTATTGTGTCTCTGATTTTCTATGTATAATGTACATCTTTTGGTCAGAAAATGTAATATAGTCAGTCTATCTCCCCCTCAGTCAATCTATCCCCCACCTCAGTCAATCTATCCCCCCTCAGTCAATCTATCCCCCACCTCAGTCAATCTATCCCCCACCTCAGTCAATCTATCCCCCTTAGTCAATCTATCCCCCACCTCAGTTAATCAATCTATCCCCCTCAGTCAATCTATCCCCCTCAGTCAATCTATCCCCCACCTCAGTCAATCTGTCCCCCACCTCAGTCAATCTATCCCCCACCTCAGTCAATCTATCCCCCACCTCAGTCAATCTATCCCCCACCTCAGTCAGTCTATCCCCCACCTCAGTCAATCTATCCACCACCTCAGTCAATCTATCCCCACCTCAGTCAATCTATCCCCCTTAGTCAATCTATCCCCCACCTCAGTCAATCTATCCCCCAGTCAATCTATCCCCCTCAGTCAATCTATCCCCCTATCAATCTATAGAGAATCACCTCAGTCAATCTATCCCCCACCTCAGTCAATCTAGACCTCAGGATGATGATCCCCCACCTCAGTCAATCTATGTCAATGATCCCCCACCTCAATCAATCTATCTTGTATCCCCCACCTCAGTCAATCTATCCCCCACCTCAGTCAATCTATCCCCACCTCAGTCAATCTATCCCCCACCTCATTCAATCTATCCCCCCCCCTCAGTCAATCTGTCCCCCACCTCAATCAATCTATCTCCCCCTCAGTCAATCTATCCCCCTCAGTCAATCTATCCCCCTCAGTCAATCTATCCCCCACCTCAGTCAATCTATCCCCCTTAGTCAATCTATCCCCCACCTCAGTCAATCTATCCCCCACCTCAGTCAGTCTATCCCCACCTCAGTCAATCTATCCCCCCCTCAGTCAATCTATCCCCCACCTCAGTCAATCTATCCCCCCCTCAGTCAATCTTTCCCCCACCTCAATCAATCTATCTCCCCCTCAGTCAATCTATCCTCAGTCAATCTATCCCCCCCTCAGTCAATCTTTCCCCCACCTCAATCAATCTATCTCCCCCTCATTCAATCTATCCCCCACCTCAGTCAATCTATCCCCCACCTCAGTCAATCTATCCCCCACCTCATTCAATCTATCCCCCCTCAGTCAATCTATCCCCACCTCAGTCAATCTATCCCCCACCTCAATCAATCTATCTCCCCCTCAGTCAATCTATCCCCCACCTCAGTCAAATCTGTCCCCCACCTCAGTCAATCCCCTCAGTATCTATCCCCACCTCAGTCAATCTATCCCCCACCTCAGTCAATCTATCCCCCCCCCCCCAGTCAATCTATCCCCCACCTCAATCAATCTATCTCCCCCTCAGTCAATCTATCCCCCACCTCAGTCAATCTATCCCCCCTCAGTCAATCTATCCCCCACCTCAGTCAATCTATCCCCCCTCAGTCAATCTGTCCCCCTCAGTCAATCTATCCCCACCTCAGTCAATCTATCCCCCACCTCAGTCAATCTATCTCCCACCTCAGTCAATCTATCCCCCACCTCAATCAATCTATCTCCCCCTCAGTCAATCTATCCCCCACCTCAATCAATCTATCTCCCCCTCAGTCAATCTATCCCCCACCTCAGTCAATCTATCCCCCCCTCAGTCAATCTATCCCCCACCTCAATCAATCTATCTCCCCCTCAGTCAATCTATCCCCCTCAGTCAATCTATCCCCGTCAGTCAATCTATCCCCCACCTCAGTCAATCTATCCCCCACCTCAGTCAATCTATCCCCCACCTCAGTCAATCTATCCCCACCTCAGTCAATCTATCCCCTCAGTCAATCTATCCCCCCCTCAGTCAATTTATCCCCCACCTCAGTCAATCTATCCCCCACCTCAGTCAATCTATCCCCCACCTCAGTCAATCTATCTCCCCCTCAGTCAATCTATCCCCACCTTAGTCAATCTATCCCCCCTCAGTCAATCTCAGTCAATTTATCTCCCAATTCAGTAAATCTATGATGCAGTTAATTTGTCAATTAAAGATTAATTAATGAATGTTTTTCAGTTAAATGATTTTAAATCAATTAATATACAAATCAATACATTAATCGGCCAGTACAATGATGATTACCTAGAGGATAGAGAATCTGATGGGTTGTACTTATCATTGTTGTAGCTGGAGAAGGATGATGATCTGATGTCTAATGACCGAGGCAAAATTCTTGTGTCCCTACGCTACATCTCTGTCAAACAGGCTCTTGCCGTCGGTGTAGTGCGATGTGTTGAACTGGCAGCCATGGACAGCAATGGTTACTCTGATCCATATGTTAAACTGTGAGTTTCTGTACCAAGATATGTTGATTCCATACCCAAAATCAGAACAATTTCATTCAGTATAGAAATATGTTGACAGATTTGACTCCAATCCTTACATCAAAATATGTTGCCTTGAGTTCTTGATCTTTGAATCGATCGTCAATCAATGATTGATCTTTGAATCGATCGTCAATCAATGATTGATCTTTGAATCAGTTCTTAATCAAGGATTGATCTTTGAATCGATCGTCAATCAATGATTGATCTTTGAATCGATCGTCAATCAATGATTGATCTTTGAATCGATCGTCAATCAATGATTGATCTTTGAATCAGTTCTTAATCAAGGATTGATCTCTGAATCGATCGTCAATCAATGATTGATCTTTGAATCGATCGTCAATCAATTATTGATCTTTGAATTGATCGTCAATCAATTATTGATCTTTGAATCGATCGTCAATCAATGATTGATCTTTGAAACAGTTCTCAATCAATGATTGATCTTTGAATCGATCGTCAATCAATGATTGATCTTTGAATCAGTTCTCAATCAATGATTGATCTTTGAAACAGTTCTTAATCAATGATTGATCTTTGAATCAGTTCTCAATCAATGATTGATCTTTGAATCAGTTCTCAATCAATGATTGATCTTTGAATCAGTTCTCAATCAATGATTGATCTTTGAATCAGTTCTCAATCAATGATTGATCTTTGAATCAGTTCTCAATCAATGATTGATCTTTGAATCGATCAATGATTGATCTTTGAATCGATCGTCAATCAATGATTGATCTTTGAATCAGTTCTCAATCAATGATTGATCTTTGAAACAGTTCTTAATCAATGATTGATCTTTGAATCAGTTCTCAATCAATGATTGATCTTTGAATCAGTTCTCAATCAATGATTGATCTTTGAATCAGTTCTCAATCAATGATTGATCAGTTCTCAATCAATGATTGATCTTTGAAACAGTTCTTAATCAATGATTGATCTTTGAATCAGTTCTCAATCAATGATTGATCTTTGAATCAGTTCTCAATCAATGATTGATCTTTGAATCAGTTCTCAATCAATGATTGATCTTTGAATCAGTTCTCAATCAATGATTGATCTTTGAATCAGTTCTCAATCAATGATTGATCTTTGAAACAGTTCTTAATCAATGATTGATCTTTGAATCAGTTCTTAATCAATGATTGATCTTTGAATCGATCGTCAATCAATGATTGATCTTTGAATCAGTTCTCAATCAATGATTGATCTTTGAAACAGTTCTTAATCAATGATTGATCTTTGAATCAGTTCTCAATCAATGATTGATCTTTGAAACAGTTCTCAATCAATGATTGATCTTTGAATCAGTTCTCAATCAATGATTGATCTTTGAATCAGTTCTCAATCAATGATTGATCTTTGAATCAGTTCTCAATCAATGATTGGTCTTTGAATTGATCTCTTATCATTGACTGGCCAAACTTTGGAATCCCGATTCCCACCACTAATGTTGGAATGGTGAAAATATCAAATGTCTTTTTTGATGTTACAGATATTTGAAACCTGATCGAGACAAGAAGTCAAAGTTCAAAACGGTAGTGAAGAAGCGTACACTGAACCCAGAATACAACGAGGTCAGCATTCAAACATACCTGTCACTAGCTGTAAAGTTTAAAATAACACTTTGATACATTGATATTACAGTGTAATTATTACTTATGAGTAAATATGTGGTCTTTTGACAGGCGACTGTTCTGGATGAATCTTTCTAAAATTTCCTCTGTAGGTTCCTCATATTCCCTTGTTGTGCCCTTTTAATTTTTGGATAGATCAGAAAAACAAAATGGTTGATAGGCAGCCATATTGAATTTTCATATTATCAGTTTTCTCGAGAAGTACTGGATGGATCTTTCTCAAATTTCGTATATATATTCCCCTTGGTTCCTTGTGCTATTTGGATTTTGGGATTGATAACAGAGAGAAATGGCTGATAGGTTGCCATGTTGGATTTTGTTAGCTGGTCCCTAGTTGTGCATTGTACCTTTTTTGGACTGATTCAAATTCAAGATGGCCGACAGGTGGCCATCTTCGATTTTGGAAGTAAAAGTTTGTTACTGCTATTTCTGAGAAAGTACTTGATGGATCTTTCTCAAATATCATATGCAGTTTTTTGGTCCCTAGTTGTGCATTGTACCTTTTTTGAAACCTGATCGAGATTCAAGATGGTCAAGGTGGCCATCTTGAATTTTGGATGTAAAAGTTTGTTACCGCTATTTCTTGGAAAGTACTAGATGGATCTTTCTCAAATATCATATGCAGTTTCCCCTGTCACTAGTTGTGCATTAAAATACCTTTTTTGATACATTGATATTACAGGTGCCATTTGGATTTTGGATGTAAAAGTTTGTTCTATTTCTTGGAAAGTACTAGATGAATCTTTCTCAAATATCATATGCAGTTTCCCCTTGGTCCCTTGTTGTGCATTGTAATTTTTGGATAGATCAGAAAAACAAAATGGTTGACAGGTGGCCATATTGGATTTTTGTAAAAGTTTGTTACCGCTATTTCTTGGAAAGTACTGGATGGATCTTTCTCAAATTTCATATATATTCCCCTTGGTTCCTAGTTTTGCATTGGACAATTTTTTTAATTATTTTTATTCTAGATTGCCAACAGGTGGCCATCTTGGATTTTGGATGTAAAAGTTTGTTACTGCTATTTCTTGGAAAGTACTGGATGGATCTTTCTCAAATTTCATATGCAGGTTCCCTTTGGTTCCAAGTTGTGCATTGTACCTTTTTGGACTGATTCAAAATCAAGATGGCTGACAGGCAGCCATCTTGGATTTTGAGAGTAAAATTTGTTACTGCTATATCTGAGAAAGTACTGGATGGATCTTTCTGATATTTCATAGATATTGGTTTCCCTTGGTCCCTAGTTGTGCATTGTACCTTTTTTGGACTGATTTGAAATCAAGGTGGCCCACAGGCCGCCATCTTGGATGTCGACAGTAATACAGCACAAACATATTGTCCATTATCCACCTGTAACTGACTGCTATCTAATAATACTTTGGGATCTTTTTCAAATGTTATTTGCTAATAAGTGCTTAATAAAAATATCTTGTGCCATCATTGAGTACATTCAATGAAGACCAGTTCATGAACATTTACAACACCTGTAACAAACAAAAAAATAAACAAATCTTCAAGAACTGAAAATAGATCCTCAAATGGTGGGCGCCAAGATCCCTCTGGGATCTCTTGTTTTTTTTTTTCGTTAAAATTACTAGATGAATCTTCCTCAAATTTCATATGTAGATTTTGCTGTACATACCTAAAAAAATGACAACTATCAGGGTTGAAAGTTCATTGTCGCTACTCCTTTTAAGGGATAATTAAATTCTATATAGTTAAGACCAAAAACAGAGGAAAGTAAAGAGGAGATAAGAAAAAAATGAACTTTTAAAGAATAAGTAAAGATCACTCAGATCTTGGATCTTTTATAATGATATACTGACTGATATATATGGTTGATCATTGCAGGATTTCCTGTACGAGATAAAACTACCAGAGCTGGCAAAGAAGACACTGGAGATTACAGTGTGGGATAAAGACATCGGCAAGGCCAATGACTTCATAGGTATGGATATCTCAATAGGATAAAAACATCGGCAAGGCCAATGACTTGTGATTTAAGAATCCCGCGGCTGGTGTAACACTTTGTGATCTCTGTGCCTTCAACCAACGCTTTAGTTTTGGCCAAAAAGGTCCTTCAATAATCTCCCCTCCCCTGTAGATAAGGAAATGAGGGGGATGTATAGTAATCAATGTGTGTGCATGCCTACGTCTGTCTGTGCATGTGTCTGTGCATGCCTAGGTTCGTCTGTGCATGCCTACGTCTGTCTGTACATGCCTACGTCTGTCTGTGCATGCCTGTGCATGCCTACGTCTGTCTGTGCATGTGTCTGTGCATGCCTAGGTTCGTCTGTGCATGCCTACGTCTGTCTGTGCATGTGTCTGTGCATGCCTAGGTTCGTCTGTGCATGCCTACGTCTGTCTGTACATGCCTACGTCTGTCTGTGCATGCCTGTGCATGCCTACGTCTGTCTATGCATGCCTACTTCTGTCTGTACATGCCTAGGTCTGTCTGTGCATGCCTGTGCATGCCTACGTCTGTCTGTGCATGTGTCTGTGCATGCCTAGGTTCGTCTGTGCATGCCTACATCTGTCTGTACATGTGTCTGTGCATGCCTAGGTTCGTCTGTGCATGCCTACGTCTGTCTGTACATGCCTAGGTCTGTCTGTGCATGCCTGTGCATGCCTACGTCTGTCTGTGCATGCCTAGGTTCGTCTGTGCATGCCTACATCTGTCTGTACATGTGTCTGTGCATGCCTAGGTTCGTCTGTGCATGCCTACGTCTGTCTGTACATGCCTAGGTCTGTCTGTGCATGCCTGTGCATGCCTACGTCTGTCTGTGCATGTGTCTGTGCATGCCTAGGTTTGTCTGTGCATGCCTACGTCTGTACATGCCTAGGTCTGTCTGTGCATGCCTGTGCATGCCTACGTCTGTCTGTGCATGCCTAGGTTCGTCTGTGCATGCTTACATCTGTCTATACATGCCTAGGTCTGTCTGTGCATGCCTGTGCATGCCTACGTCTGTCTGTACATGCCTAGGTCTGTCTGTACATGCCTAGGTTCGTCTGTGCATGCCTACATCTGTCTGTGCATGCCTAGGTTTGTCTGTGCATGCCTACATCTGTCTGTGCATGCCTAGGTCTGTCTGTGCATGCCTAAGTCTGTCTGTGCATGCCTACGTCTGTCCACACATGCCTAGGTTCGTCTGTGCATGCCTTCATCCATCTGTGCATGCCTACATCCGTTTGTGCATGCCTAGGTCTGTCTGCCTGCCTATGTCACTGTGCATGACTAGGTCTGTCTGTGCATGCCTACGTCTGTCTGTACATGCCTAGGTCTGTCTGTACATGCCTAGGTTCGTCTGTGCATGCCTACATCTGTCTGTGCATGCCTAGGTTCATCTGTGCATACCTACATCTGTCTGTGCATGCCTAGGTCTGTCTGTGCATGCCTAAGTCTGTCTGTGCATGCCTACGTCTGTCCACACATGCCTAGGTTCGTCTGTGCATGCCTTCATCCATCTGTGCATGCCTACATCCGTTTTCCATCTGTGCATGCCTACATCCGTTTGTGCATGCCTACGTCTGTTTGCATACCTATGTCACTGTGCATGACTAGGTCTGTCTGTGCATGCCTACGTCTGTCTGTGCATGCCTAAGTCTGTCTGTGCATGCCTAAGTCTGTCTGTGCATGCCTACATCCGTCTGTGCATGCTTATGTCTGTCTGTAGGTTTCATCCATGATAAACCTTGTATACAAGATACTTCAGGAACCCATATAAATATTCACACCATATCATCAATAAGGTATACTCCTAGGATTCTGGTGGTTTTCGGTAAAGGTTAAAGGTCAAAGGACCATTTCTGAAATATTTGTGTACAAGATATCTCTGAATCTATTGACACTTTTACTTCATATTTACACTTTATCTTCAATCTATAACTGTCTACTCTTGATTTGATCATAGTTTTCATTTATCAAGGATAAAGGTGAAAAGTCACCCTTGACTACTTTTGAAATAAAAAGGTTGTGTACAAGAGATCTGATGAGCCCCTGAACAGTTTTACTTCATAGTCACATCATAGCATCACACTATCAAGTTCTACATCTTGTTACATAGTGATGGTCATTGTTAAAGGTCAAAGGTCATTGATTTTCTAGACATAAAAGAACTTTTATACAAGATATCTCATGATCCCCTAAGTGGATTAACCCCTCAATAGATTTAGATCTAGATAAGGATAAATAGGTGAACCATATATATATATATATATCTATACGGATTAACCCCTCAATAGATCAGATCTAGGTAAGGATAAATAGGTGAACCATATATATATATATATATATATATCTATCAGATCTAGGTAAGGATAAATAGGTGAACCATATATATATATCTATACGAGTCCTTCCTCACTTTGCTCTTCCTTATTCCTTTTTTTCAGGTGGTGTTCAGTTAGGAATCAACTCAAAAGGGGAAAGGCTCAAACACTGGTTTGACACACTAAAGAATCCAGACCAGAAATTTGAACGATGGCAGATGTTGTCAGCAGAACTTATTCCAGAGGTTCAATTAACATCTTGATATCTTTGTGATCCTGCATGTATCGATGTTGTCAGTTTTGTGATTATAGATTGTCTTTTGCAATGAACTACGTTAAGGATTCAGCGTCATTCATTGACAACTGACAAGAACCATCCTGACGGCTGTTATGCCTGAGTGTGTATTCCATCTTGAGAAGACCAGGATGTGCCGTGTGGTGTGTCACGTACCAGAAGTAATATGTCACTGCCATATATATTTTAACCTCTGACCTTTCATAAGGAAAAACTGTAAGAAATCAGATGTACCTTTTGGTGTACCACAGTTAGGCAGTACATTGTGGACAAAGGTTAGGCAGTACATTGTGGACCACAGTTAAGCGGTACGTTGTGGACCACAGTTTAGCGGTACGTTGTGGACCACAGTTAGGCAATACATTGTGGACGACAGTTTTACAGTATGTTATGGACCACAGTTAGGTAGTACATTGTGGACCACAGTTAGGCAGTATGTTATGGACCACAGTTAGGTAGTACATTGTGGACCACAGTTAGGCAGTACATTGTGGACCACAGTTAGGCAATACATTGTGGACAAAAGTTAGGCAGTACATTGTGGACCTCAGTTAGGCAGTATGATGTGGACCACAGTTAGGCGGTACATTGTGGACCACAGTTAGGCAATACATTGTGGACAAAGGTTAGGCAGTACATTGTGGACCACAGTTAGGCAATACATTGTGGACAAAAGTTAGGCAGTACATTGTGGACCACAGTTAGGCCGTATGATGTGGACCACAGTTAGGCGGTACATTGTGGTCCACAGTTTAGCAGTATGTTGTGGACCACAGTTAGGCAATACATTGTGGACCACAGTTAGGCAATACATTGTGGACAAAAGTTAGGCAGTACATTGTGGACCAAAGTTAGGCAATACATTGTCAGTTAGGCAATACATTGTGGACCACAGTTAGGCAATACATTGTGGACAAAAGTTAGGCAGTACATTGTGGACCACAGTTAGGCCGTATGATGTGGACCACAGTTAGGCGGTACATTGTGGTCCACAGTTTAGCAGTATGTTGTGGACCACAGTTAGGCAATACATTGTGGACCACAGTTAGGCAATACATTGTGGACAAAAGTTAGGCAGTACATTGTGGACCTCAGTTAGGCATGTGGACCACATGTACATGTGGACCACAGTTAGGCAATACATTGTGGACCACAGTTAGGCAATACATTGTGGACAAAAGTTAGGCAGTACATTGTGGACCACAGTTAGGCAGTATGATGTGGACCACAGTTAGGCGGTACATTGTGGTGCACAGTTTAGCAGTTTGTTGTGGACCACAGTTAGGCAATACATTGTTGACCACAGTTAGGCAATGCGTTGTTGACCACAGTTAGGCAATGCGTTGTTGACCACAGTTAGGCAGTACATTGTGGAGCACAGTTAAGCGGTATGTTGTGGACCACATATAGATTAATTCTTATGCAAGCAGTGTGTTGTGTACGTACAACAGTAAGGTGGTAGGTTGTGTACCACAGTTAAGCTACTGCCATCAATAGTTTGGCAATCATCAACACAGAACAGCTATTTTCTTTTCGGTAAAGGACTTTGCTCATGTGGATACACCTTCGGAATGGACTGTGCTGTCGTAGAAAAGAAAAATTTTACTTTACATAATTATATTTTTAAATATGTCGATATGGAGGAAAGCATATCTCTGGTATTTTTTGTTTAAAATGCAAATTAACTCAAACTGCAATAAAATCCATGTAACACTGACACATGTGATAATCATGTAAATAACAAGGTAATAACCTTAAAAAATTAAAATAGCAGCTACTGCATTAAAGGTGGTATGTGTGTAGTTTTTCTGTATTACGGTAAATATTTTGTAGTTTATCTCACTCGATAAGGTTGTACGACTACATTTACAATAATTATATTCATGGAACATTATACTGATGTCACTTTATCACCCTGACTGATGTCACTTTATCACCCTGACTGATGTCTCTATATCATCCTGACTGATGTCACTTTATCACCCTGACTGATGTCACTTTATCACCCTGACTGATGTCTCTTTATCTGACCCTGACTGTCTCTATACCCTGACTGATGTCACTTTATCACCCTGACTGATGTCTCTTTATCACCCTGACTGATGTCACAGTATCACCCTGACTGATGTCACCTTATCAACCTGACTTATGTCACTATATCACCCTGACTGATGTCACTTTATCACCCTGACTATATCACCCTGACTGATGTCACCGTATCATGTCACTTTATCCTGACTGATGTCTCTTTATCACCCTGACTGATATCATCCTGACTGATTTATCACCCTGACTGATGTCTCTTTATCACCCTTTATCACCCTGACTGATGCTGACTGATGTCTTTATCACTTTATCACCCTGACTGATGTCTCTTTATCACCCTGACTGATGTCACTTTATCACCCTGACTGATGTCTCTATATCATCCTGACTGATGTCACTTTATCACCCTGACTGATGTCACTTTATCACCCTGACTGATGTCTCTATATCATCCTGACTGATGTCACCGTATCATCCTGACTGATGTCACTTTATCACCCTGACTGATGTCACTTTATCACCCTGACTGATGTCTCTTTATCACCCTGACTGATGTCTCTTTATCACCCTGACTGATGTCTCTTTATCACCCTGACTGATGTCACTTTATCATCCTGACTGATGTCTCTTTATCACCCTGACTGATGTCTCTTTATCACCCTGACTGATGTCTCTTTATCACCCTGAATGATGTCTCTTTGTCACCTTGACTGATGTCACTTTATCATCCTGACTGATGTCTCTTTATCATCCTGACTGATTTCTCTTCATCATCCTAACTGATGTCACCATATTACCCTGACTGATGTCACTTTATCATCCTGACTGATGTCACTTTATCACCTTGACTGATGTCACTTTATCATCCTGACTGATATCTCTATATCGCCCTGACTGATGTCACTTTATCATCCTGACTGATGTCACCGTATCACCCTGACTGATGTCTCTTTATCACCCTGACTGATGTCTCTATATCACCCTAACTGATGTCACTTTATCACCCTGACTGATGTCACCGTATCACCCTGACTGATGTCTCTTTATCACCCTGACCGATGTCACTTCATCACCTTGACTGATGTCACTTTATCATCCTGACTGATGTCTCTTTATCATCCTGACTGATTTCTCTTTATCATCCTAACTGATGTCACCATATTACCCTGACTGATGTCACTTTATCATCCTGACTGATGTCTCTTTATCACCCTGACTGATGTCTCTTTATCACCCTGACTGATGTCTCTTTATCACCCTAACTGATGTCTCTTTATCACCCTGACTGATGTCACCATATTACCCTGACTGATGTCACTTTATCATCCTGACTGATGTCACTTTATCACCCTGACTGATGTCACCGTATCACCCTGACTAATGTCACTTTATCACCCTGACTGATGTCACTTTATCACCTTGACTGATGTCACTTTATCATTCTGACTGATGTCTCTTTATCATCCTGACTGATGTCACTTTATCACCCTGACTGATGTCACCGTATCACCCTGACTGATGTCACCGTATCACCCTGACTGATGTCTCTTTATCATCCTGACTGATGTCACTTTATCACCCTGACTGATGTCACTTTATCACCTTGACTGATGTCACTTTATCATTCTGACTGATGTCTCTTTATCATCCTGGCTGATGTCACTTTATCACCCTGACTGATGTCACCGTATCACCCTGACTGATGTCACCGTATCACCCTGACTGATGTCTCTTTATCACCCTAACTGATGTCACTTTATCACCCTGACTGATGTCACCGTATCACTCTGATTGATTTCTCTATATCACCCTGACTGATGTCATCATATCACCCTAACTGATGTCACCGTATCACCCTGACTGATGTCTCTATATCATCCTGACTGATGTCTCTTTATCACCCTGACTGATGTCTCTTTATCACCTTGACTGATGTCTCTATATCACCCTAACTGATGTCACTTTATCACCCTGACTGATGTCACTTTATCATCCTGACTGATGTCTCTTTATCACCCTCTCTGATGTCTCTTTATCACCCTGACTGATGTCACCGTATCACCCTGACTGATGTCTCTTTATCACCCTCTCTGATGTCTCTTTATCACCCTGACTGATGTCTCTTTATCACCTTGACTGATGTCTCTTTATCACCCTAACTGATGTCACTTTATCACCCTGACTGATGTCACTTTATCATCCTGACTGATGTCTCTTTATCACCCTCTCTGATGTCTCTTTATCACCCTGACTGATGTCACCGTATCACCCTGACTGATGTCTCTTTATCACCCTCTCTGATGTCTCTTTATCACCCTGACTGATGTCACCGTATCACCCTGACTGATGTCACCGTATCATCCTGACTTATGTCACTTTATCACCCTGACTGATGTCTCTATATCACCCTCTCTGATGTCTCTTTATCACCCTCTCTGATGTCTCTTTATCACCCTGACTGATGTCTCTATATCACCCTAACTGATGTCACTTTATCACCCTGACTGATGTCTCTATATCACCCTGACTGATGTCTCTTTATCACCCTCTCTGATGTCTCTATATCACCCTAACTGATGTCACTTTATCACCCTGACTGATGTCTCTATATCACCCTGACTGATGTGTCTTTATCACCCTCTCTGATGTCTCTTTATCACCCTCTCTGATGTCTCTACATCACCCTGACTGATGTCTCTATATCACCCTGACTGATGTCACTTTATCACCCTGACTGATGTCTCTATATCACCCTAACTGATGTCACTTTATCACCCTGAATGATGTCACCGTATCACCCTGACTGATGTCTCTTTATCACGCTGACTGATGTCTCTATCATCCTGACTTATGTCTCTTTATCACCCTGACTGATGTCTCTTTATCACCCTGACTGATGTCTCTATATCACCCTGACTATCTCACCATGACTGATGTCACTTTATCACCCTGACTGATGTCACTTTATCACCCTGACTGATGTCTCTATATCACCCTGACTGATGTCTCTTTATCACCATGACTGATGTCACTTTATCACCCTGACTGATGTCATTTTATCACCCTAACTGATGTATCTTTATCACCCTGACTGTTGTCACTTTATCACCCTGACTGATGTCACTTTATCACCCTGACTGATGTCTCTTTATCACCCTGACTGATGTCACTTTATCACCCTGACTGATGTCATTTTATCACCCTAACTGATGTATCTTTATCACCCTGACTGATGTCTCTTTATCACGCTGACTGATGTCTCTATCATCCTGACTTATGTCTCTTTATCACCCTGACTGATGTCTCTTTATCACCCTGACTGATGTCTCTATATCACCCTGACTGATGTCTCTTTATCACCATGACTGATGTCACTTTATCACCCTGACTGATGTCACTTTATCACCCTGACTGAATTCTCTATATCACCCTGACTGATGTCTCTTTATCACCATGACTGATATCACTTTATCACCCTGACTGATGTCATTTTATCACCCTAACTGATGTATCTTTATCACCCTGACTGTTGTCACTTTATCACCCTGACTGATGTTACTTTATCACCCTGACTGATGTCTCTTTATCACCCTGACTGATGTCACTTTATCACCCTGACTGATGTCTCTTTATCACCCTAACTGTTGTCACTTTATCACCCTGACTGATGTCACTTTATCACCATGACTGATGTCACTTTATCACCTTGACTGATGTCACTTTATCACCCTGACAGATGTCACTTTATCACCCTGACTGATGTCTCTTTATCACCCTGACTGATGTCTCTTTATCACCCTGACTGTTGTCACTTT